AGGAATTCAACAATATATAACAAAAATCCCTGCATTTGAAGTTATTTATCTTTATATACCTCAAACAAAATTACAAATCCATAAACACAACCCAAGATATAAATAATAATACTACAAAGTGGCAAAACAACAACAGCAGTATTATCATAATGGAATTTTTAGCCACTCACTACAGTGAGTACATGCTTAACAGATCACATTAAATTCTCCATCCCTGATGTCCAGAAAAGTAGGAACAATAGCAATGGTAGCAGGAATACTGAGAATGGCCTTAACAGCAGCTAGTAAGTATTAGTGGTAGAGAAGCAGGGACCCAGAGCTAGTGTGGCTGACTTCTCAGTACTCTGATTCCAGCTGTAATGGTGCAGCACAGATAAGCACATGTGCTATTAACATTATATACAGCCTACATTTTGTTATGCCTATTTAAGTCTTGTTCTCTGTCCTCACTGCTTCAATCATGCTGGTAAAACTCTTTCCTCCTTTTGACAAGTCCCCACTTAGGCCCAAAAAGAAGAAAACCTGACCAACAATTCTGTCCCCTGCAGAAGGGCTGGGAAGAAGGCTCCACCTTTAGTCCCCTTACATGCTCCTTCCATCGTGGGAGCAACTAGAATTTCTATGACTGAGGACAGTCTGAGAATGGGCCAGATTCCCCATAGCTGTGGTGGTGCTGCAGGAAAATGGCCTCTTCCTTCTGAATGCAGCCTCTTCCCAGCCTGCCTGTGTGCAGACGGGGGCAAGCAGACCAGGTCGGTCTCTGCTCTCAGTAGTGGCTGCTTTGCTTGAGCTCAGGTGGGCCTGTAGGTTAGTTCAGCCCTTTATCAAGGGCCAGTTATCTACCAGTCACTGGGGAGCAGGAGACCCCATCTGGGCCTCAGGTCCCGGCCACATTCTCTGCCATTGATGAGGCTGATACTGTGGTCAATATTTGGGTCTTGGGTCTCTTTCCCAAACTAGTTAGAATCTGGGGAAGAAAGTTGAAACCAGCTAGGGCCCCAAACTTCCCAGAAGCCACAATCTTTATCTTTTGTCTCAGCTCACTGCATCCGAACTACACCTTTTCCTTTTGCTGTCCCTCTAGCTGTATACTCAAATATGAACATACTGGGGTAGGGGGTGGGGTGGGGGCATCTCCTGCAGGATTATCCTTCCTTACACCTTGGCTACTTACAGCTCCTATAAGCCCTCAGCACTGTTTGACAATTCTCTCCTTACTCCCAGTGGTGTACCGTCCCCTTCTCTCATCCACCCTTAACACTCGTTTCACCACCATCGCCACCTACACCGCCATCAATGACAACAATATTACCACCATCTATACCACCATATCAACACCCACCCACCTCCAACAACATCAATACTACCACCACCACCAACATCAACACTTCTGTGAACGTTCAAAATTGCATTGCAAACTGTTAGTGACAAGTGTTAGTGACAAGTGTTTAACCATTTTCTTGCCATTGCTGCTATTACCTTGTTCTCCTCCGGCATGAAGAGGATTCGAAATATGGATGGCACTCCTGGAGCCACTTTGTGGCCAGTATCTTTGGGGCTGATTACTTTAAAGTACGGTGAACTTTCCTCAACAACTTTCACCATCCTTGGAATCTGCAGGAAAAACACACATGATGGACACTGCGCGTGTGAAAAAGCGGAAGAAAAAGCACAGGCCTTGGAGTTAAACACAGACCAACATCTCCATCAACTGCTTACTAGACATGTGACCTTGGTCAAGTCTGAACTTCAGTTTCTCAACTATAAAGGGAGGTAATAGTACCCACCTTTATCCCATACAAAGTAAGCGTTCAATACATTTTAACTTTAATTTTTATTAGCATTAGTATTATTACTCATTTTTATTATCATTGCAAGTCTTTGTTCATTTTATTATTTAAATGTGACTATCTTCAAAGGCTAACTGCTTAATCAGCTAAAACCCTACCTGCATAGTGGAGTTAAGCTGGATTCCCCGACATCTGAGAACTGCTCTGGGAGAAGAAACCGCACTGACTGCACTCCTTCTACAGGCTGCGTCCTGCATATGATGTGCCACTTCATCCTCACAGTCACCTCTGAGCTTCATTATAGCTCCCAGCCCAAAGTGGTATAGCTCCACCAGGCAGGGGTGCTGGGAGTCAAGTCCCAGCCTGACTCCACCCTGCCTCTCTATGGGATTGTAATGAGTAAACACACGATGGAGCAAGAACAGAAAGTGCAGTGGGATCTCCCCCAGGCCAGCCTCAGTAGCTCCAAACGATTCCATTCTGTTAAAGGCTTATTTCTCCTCTGGAATCTGAACCCAGACTAGCCTGACTAGAGTCTGGGTTCTTATAATTGTACCCCAAGTAGAATCATGTTGTGGCTTATGGAGTGTCCATGGCTTACCCTCACCCTGCGTATGTGAGAGAAACAAAAAAATAACGACCAAACATGCCCTGTCTTTTACATTCCATGCCAGTGAGGAAGCAAATAAAAGGAGAATGGCACAGAAATCATTCCTCCGTGCCCCACATCTCTCCTGGTGGTCCCTTATGAGACCATGAACTAAGGAAGCAGAGAAGCGGGTTTACATTAGCCACCTCACATGAGGGTCCTGGAGTAACTGACCCGAAGACAAGCCTGCCTGGCCTGCAGAAAGCTGTCTGCTTGTTGGCAGCTGGACATTCCCTAGATGGGAACCTTCTTTCCACAGGGCCAGAATTCTGGCTGCAACTTACCGAGAGATTTGGGCTATCTATGAGAACTGAGTGTCCTTTGGCAGACAAAACATACACTTGCCCTTTACCCTTGAGTTGTTCATCTATACCCACTGATAATAATTTCTTGTTTGGGGTCAGGGAGGGGTGGCCAAAGGGCCCTTTCTGGACTAGCTTCTCTCTGCCTTTAATAGCCAAAAAATACCTGGGAAACAGTCAAAATAATAGAGAAAGGGAAAAAGGAATTGGAAGGGAAAATCGAATGGGTTGGCAGAAAAGACATGAAAAGAAAGAGTCCTAATGTCTATGTGATGTACCTCTTCTTGAGCTCTAGGAACATAAACCTGTGTATCTCGGGTTCCTTTTCTTCTTTTTTTCTTTATTTCAGGGTATTATGAGGGTACAAACATTATGGTTACACTTTATGTCTTTGCCTACCCCTTTAGCTTCTGTCCCATGAGCTTCTCTTGCTAACACTACTGCAGCAAAGAACTAAATAGACCATTTTCTCCAGAGTCTGACTTTGCTATCACTAAATCACCCCATTGATCTCTGAAAGGCACCACTGATTCCTTTAATGAGCTACTGTATCAAATATAACTGCAAGTCTTCCCATTTGCTTTGGATTCTTGCATAGTCTTCAGTTATTCTCTCTTTTTTCTTATAGCTAGAATTGTCTCCACACTCTCAGACTTCTGTAGGTATTTCTACTTGTCTTTACACCTAAAGTTTAGCATCTCTCAAACACCTTCCTCCCATCTGATTACTTTTCACACTTAAGTGTGCTGCATGCTGACCTTCTGCATAATTCTTTCTTTCATTATTGTTAGATGTCAAGGAAATCCTCAGGCATTTAATACCTTTTCTTGAAATAAACCTCTAATTTATCTCTGAAGAAAAAGGCATAAGGCTAAAGAAGAAATCCTCAGTTGGAACCACAAAGAGATAAAATTTGGACAGCAAGAGAGGCCTTCCCAAACTAGCTGCAGGCAAAATCTGAAGGCTATCTGATATAGAAAAGTGAAAACAGAAAAGGGGGAAAGGGATCTATTTACATCTTTTAGAAAAGTAGGGTTTTTTTAAAGGCACAATTTGCAGAATATAAATGCATTGCATACTATAAATATAAATGCTCAACAATTGCAATTCATATGAGTAGAGTTTATATTGTGAATTGGGGAAATGGTGTCTCTAATGAAGAGTACACAAAGATTAGTAGTCTTAAAAGAAAACCTAGCCCAATTTGTCATACACGAGAACTACATGCCATTCATCTAGTTAACCCTTTATTCAACAAAAATTTAGTGCACATGTTGGGAATTCACCCTTTGTTGGGCACTATACTAGGACTGAACATATAGCAACAGATAGACATGGTCTTCATCATGCTGACAATCAAAGGGCGTGTTTTCATACTATTTTCCTAAGTCTATCAAATTAAAGAACTTACCTAAGATCCTATAAGATCCCATTTTACTTAACCCCTTTCTCATATATCCTGGAAAAGTTCACCTACCCCAGGGACCATACTTACTTTGTCAGTGTTCCTTAACACCAGTGGAACTTCATAGACTTCACAGGGGGTGTAGTTCTGAAATATAATTTCTGATGGAAAGGGCTGGAATAATGCCTGATCCAGGTCAATTGATGAAAACTGCAGTTGAAAGAGTAAATTATTCATATAGTCACATAGTGGCAAAAATGACTGGGGAAGATGAGAAAATACTACATAGACCTGTGGATATTAAAACTAAGAACATGAAAAACACTCAAAAATGGATAATCATTATAAACATTAATAGTTATAATTAGTGAGATTATTGTCATCAACTTCTTTAATATAAAAGAAAATAGAAATTTTGTCCTCAGTTTTTTAAAAAATAGGCTAATAAGAACATTAATAGTAGA